ATTTTTTGTAGCTCTTTTTTTTATAAGTTTTTGTTTTTTTTTGTCGCATTTTTGTCGATTTTTGTGGCCTTTTTTGGATGTTTTTTGGGTTCTCTGCTTTTTTGGTCGCCTTCTTGTGGTCTTTTTTTGTTTTTTCTGTGTTTTTTTTTGTCGTCTTTTTTATTCACTCCCCCTTGCTCTCTCTTATGGCTCTTTTTGTAGTCGTCTTTTTTGAGGTCTTTTTGTCGTATTTTTTCTCGCATATTTCGTGGCATTTTTGTCATCTTTTTCTTTTCGCTTTTTTTCTCGGTTGCTATTTTGTTGCTTTCTGTGACCTGTTTTAGGTCCCCTTTTGTCTTTTTTTGTGTTTCCTTTGTCTTTTTTTGCCTTATTCTCATTTTTTTGTGTTTTTTTTTAGTCACATTTCTCCCAATTTTCTTTTTCCCGTCTTTTTTTGGAACCTTTTTTCATGGTCTTTTTCTCGTATTTTTTGTTACCTTCACTTATCCTTTCTCTTCCTACCTCCTTTCTTTGTCGTCTTTGTTGTTGCGTTTTACGTTTTTTCCTTGTGGCGTTTTTTCATCTTTTTTTGATATGTCTTTTTCGCCATTTTATATCGTCAATTTTTTATCGCTACCTGTTTCTTCTCGCCTCTTTTTCACCTTTTTTTTGTCACTCCCTTTTGCAGTTTTTTTCGATTTCTTTTTCGTGGCTTTTTTCGTCTTTTTTGCTGGAATTTTTCGGTTTTTTTGTTCGTCTTAGTGGACATTTTTTAATCTTTTTTCCCGAGTTTTTGTGTCCTGTTATAACCTTTTTCTTTTTTTGTTACTTTTTGTAGCCTCTTTTAGGTCTTTTGTCTTTTTTCCTTATTCCATCTTTTTTGTGTCTTTTTTTAGTCACATTTCCGCCAATTGTCTTTTTTCCGCCTTTTTTGATCGTTTTTTTTTTTGATATTTTTTGTCGTCTTTTTCTCGCATTTTTCGTTACCTTTCTTCACTTCTTCTATGTTCTCCTTTTACCTTCTTTTACGTCGTCGTTTTGTTGGGTTTTTCGTTTTTTCTTCATCGGCCTTTTTCATCTCTGTTTGGGATTCTTTTTTCACTTTTTTTATCGTTTTTTTTTTCACTTTTTTGTGGCACTTTTTCACATTTCTTCGCCTATTCTCGCCTCCTTTTATGTCATTCCCTTTTATATTTTTTGTCACCTTTTTTCAGTCTCGTTTTTGGGGCCTTTTCTGCTGTCTTTTTTCTCATTTATCGTAGATTTTTTCCACCTGTTTCTTCTCCTCTTTTTTCGTCTCTTTTAGTCGCTCCCTTTCTTAGTTTTTTCGTGGCACTTTTCGTGTTTTCTGCTACACTTGGTGGAGTTTTTTAGCCTTTTTGACGGTTTTTGTGACCTAAAACTTTTTATAGCTTTTTGGTGGCATTCTTATATCGTTTTTTGTAGCTTTTTTTTTTAGTAGACTTTTCCCGAATTTTTTGGCCTTTTATTACCCTTTCCTTTTTTTGTTGCTTTTTGTGGCCTTTTTTGTCGTCTTTTTCTCGCATTTTTTGTTACCTTTCTTCACTTTTTCTTTTTTCTTTGTTACCTTCTTTCTCTTGTCGTCTTTTTTATTGCTTTTTGTTGCGTTTTCCGTTTCTTCTTTGTCGCCCTTTTTCATCTTTTTTACCATCTTTATCGTCATTTTTTATCGCTTTTTTGTGGCACTTTTTCACTTTTTTTCGCTTATTCTCGTCTCCTTTATCACCTTTTACGTTGTTGCCTTTTATAGTTTTTGTCGCTTTTTTTGTAGCTCTTTTTTGTAGATTTTTCGTTTTCTTTTTCGTGGCTTTTTACGTATTTTTTTGTTGCTTTTTGTGGCCCCTTTTAGGTCTCTTTTTGTTTTTTTGTGTTTTTTCATCATTCCATCTTTTTTGGTGGCCTTTTTTAGTCACATTTTCGCGAATCGTCTTTTTTTGGACCTTTTTGTCCTTTTTTTGTCAAATTTTTCGTTACCTTCCTCCACATTTTCTTTTTTCTCCTTTTTCTCCTCCTCCCCTTTTTTTATCGTCCTTTTTATTGCTTTCTGTTGCATTTTTCGTTTTTCTTTGTCGCCTTTTTTCATCTCTTTTTTGGTATTCTCTCTTCGCCTTTTTTTAAGGTCAATTTTTTTATAGCTTTTTGTGTTACTTTTTAATTTTTTTTGCTCCTATTCTCATCTCCCTTATCGCCTTTTAAGTCGTTCCCTTTTAACGGTTTTGGCTTTTTTTTGGTCGTCCTTTTTTGGGTCTTTTTTCTCTTTTTTTTCATATTTCGCTAAGTTTTTTCACCTGTTTCTTCTCGTGTTTTTTCGCCTCTTTTGGTCAATTTTCCCTTTTATACTTTTTCTCGTTTTCTTCTCGCTAGCTTTTTTCGCCTTTTTTTGGTATTTTTGCCGGACTTTTTTTGGCTTTTTTTGTGGCCTAAAACTTCGTTTTTATAGCTGTTTGGTGCCTTTCTTTTTCGTTGCCTTTTTTTTGGATTAATGTTTTAGTAGGCTTTTTTTTTTATTTTTGTGGCCTTTTATTACCTTTTTCTTTTTTTTTTTGTTACTTTTTGTGGCCTCTTTTAGGTCTCTTTTTGTTTTTTTTTGTTTTTTTCTTCTTCCATCTCTTTTTGTGTCCGTTTTTAGTCACATTTCCCCCAATTTTCTTTTCTCCTGCGTTTTTTTGTCGCTTTTTGTGGTCTTTTTTGCTTTTTGCCGTCTATTTTGCAGCAACTTTTTTGGTGACCTTTTTCTCTGTAGCCTCTTTTGCTTTTTTTAACTTTTCACTTTATTGGTTCGAGTTATTGATACTTTGATTTTTTTAATGTTATTGTAGCATTTTTTCGTCTTTCCTTTCTTTTTCCCATTTTTTCCAGTTTTCTTGTCGCCTTCTTACCCGCCTTCTTTTTTGTTGCCTTTTGTGGCCGCGTTTAGGTCTCTCTTTTTGTATTTTTTGTGTTTTTTTCCTTATTCCATCTTTTTTGTGTCCTTTTTTAGTCATATTTCCGCCAATTGTCTTTTTTCCGCCTTTTGTGATCGTTTTTTTTCGGAGGTTTTGTGACGTCTTTTTCACGCATTTTTCGTTACCTTTCTTTACTTCTTCTATGTTCTCCTTTTACCTTCTTTTTTGTCGTCTTTTTGTTTATTTGTGGCACTTTTTCACCTTTTTTCGCCTATTCTCGCCTCTTTTTATGTCATTCCCTTTTATACTTTTTGTCACCTTTTTTTTTCAGTCTCGTTTTATGGGCCTTTTTGTTGTCTTTTTTTCTCATTTATCGTAGATTTTTTTTCCACCTGTTTCTTCTCGTTTTTTTCGCCTCTTTTAGTCGCTCCCTTTCGTAGTTTTTTCGTTTTCTTTTTTCGTGGCTTTTCTCGTCTTTTTTGGTGGTATGTACTTTTCGTCTTTTCTGGTACATTTGGTGGACTTTTTTTTTTTTGGTCTTTTTTTGTCGGTTTTGGTGGAATTCTTACATCGTTTTTTGTAGCCTTTTTTTGTTTTTTTCTTTTAATAGACTTTTCCCGAATTTTTTGGCCTTTTATTACCTTTTCCTTTTTTTGTTGCTTTTTGTGGCTTCTTCTAGGTCTCTTTTTGTCTTTTTTGTGTTTTTTCCTTATTCCATCATCTTTTGTTTTTTCGTTACCTTTCTTCACTTTTTCTTTTTTCTCTGTTACCTTTTTTTTTGTCGTATTTTTTATTGCTTTTTGTTGCGTTTTCCGTTTTTTCTTTTGTCGCCCTTTTCCATCTTTTTTTAGCATTCTTTTTTCACCTTCTTTATCGTCATTTTTATCGCCTTTTTGTGGCACTTTTTCACCTTTTTTCGCTTATTCTCGTCTCTTACATCACGTTTTATGTTGTTACCTTTATACTTTTTGTCGCCTTTTTTGGAGCCTTTTTTGTCGTCTTTTTTTTCTCATTTATCGTATCTTTTTTTTGTGTTTTTTCATCATTCCACTTTTTTTTGTGGTCTTTTTTAGTCACATTTTCCCCAATTGTCTTTTTTCCGCCTTTTTTTTAACCGTCTTTTTTTTGAGCTTTTTGTCGTTTTTTGTCAAATTTTTCGTTATTTTCCTTCACGTTTTCTTTTTTCTCCTCCTATCTTTTTTTATCGTCCTTTTTATTGCTTTTTCAATTTTTTTGCTCATATTCTTGTCTCCCTTATCCCCTTTTAAGTCGTTCCCTTTTAACGGTTTTGGCTTTTTTCTGATCGTTCTTTTTTGGGTCTTTTTTGTCGTTTTTTTTCTCATATTTCGTACAATTTTTTTCACCCCTTTCTTTTCGTCTTTTTTCGCCTCTTTTATACTTTTTTTCGTTTTCTTCTTGGTGGCTTTTTTCGTATTTTTTTGGTATTCTTGCTGGACCTTTTTAGTCTTTTTTTGTAGCTTTTTGTGGCCTAAAACTTCGTTTTTTATAGCTGATCGGTGCCCTTTTTATTCGTTGCCTTTTTTTTGGTTTAATGTTTGAGTAAGTTTTTTTTTTGATTTTTGTGGCCTTTTATTACCTTTTTCTTTTTTTGTTACTTTTTGTGGCCTCTTATCGGTCTCTTTTTGTCTTTTCTTCTGTTTTTTCCTTCTTCCATTTCTTTTTGTATCCGTTTTTAGTCACATTTCCACCAATTTTCTTTTCTCCTGCTTGTTTTTGTAACTTTTTGTGGTCTATTTTGTTGTTTTTTTATCTTTTAACTTTTTTTGTCTTTCTTTTCTTGTTTCCTCCTTTTTTGCGGCCTTTTCTTTTTCCTATTTTTTCCAATTTTCTTGTCGCCTTCTTACAATTTTTTGTATTTCGTTTTTTTTTTTGTCTTATTTCGTTGTCTAATTTTTTTATCTTAGCATTTTCACTCTTTTGTCGTATTTTAGTGACTTGTTTATCGTGTTTCATTTGTTACCTTTTTATAAATTTTCGTTTTTTCCGACTCTTTTTTTTTGTTTCATTTTTTATTCTTTTTGTCCACTCAACGTCTCCAAGAATTAGATGACGTCATCACAACTTCTCTATTCTAAAGCAATAAACCCACACATGTACAGACCTTAAAATTTTATTTAAATGATCACAGTACATTAAACTAATTTTTACAATTTTGTAGACATAACAGAAAATAAACTCTACTCTTCATCATATAAATCTCTATTTGGGAAGATCAAATTAATTATACAATTGCATTTTTGTAACACTTGTAGACGTTTCGAAAACATAATAAACCAACTCCTAATAATCAATAAAAGTTATTGAACTGCGATTGGTTCCCTATTCAAGTTTATCCAGTTGGTCCAAGCCTCCTGAAGGTCGCCGTACTTATCATCGAAGTCCAGGTCGGCGTAACTGTTGGACTGAATTCTCACGTACGGCGGAACCTAAAATAAACAAATCGTAAAAATTAAAAAAACTACGGGATGTAACAACATTTATTAAAAAAAAAAACAGGTGTACAAAAATAATTAGGGAGCAAGCAGACGCCACAACTTATCTACAGGACCACGACGACGTTTAGGTCGCGAACTTGCCGAAATTGGCTTCAGTGCGAAATCCACCCTCTGGGCCGAAGAGTGCGCTGGATTGGTGACAGTGACGATTCGAGAGTGGGGTAAGTACCCGTCCTTGTACGCCGTAATTTTGTACTTTCCAGGAGTGAGCAGGCGGAAATAATCTCCATCATGAACTAAAAACTAATTTTAGTAAGTTTGATTTTTCGAACTATTGTTTACCTGATACGACGTCGTGTTGTATATCTTGGTACTTTCCATTCGTTATGTTTTTGACATGGATGACGGCGTTCGCAATTCCACGCTTGGCAACGTTGTCGTACACGATTCCTTTAACCCCGATGTGACTCTAAAAGGTCATACTTTATTTTTTGTTACGTTTTTAATTTTTTTTTATTCACCTGCCACATATAATTAAGTAATGCTTCTTTATTTCGGTCCCATTCTTGTTGAAGAACTTTGGTGGGGGGGTACTTGTCACAGCCAAGCTCCAGGGTAATTTCGAAATCGTTGCTGGAGAGATAGTTGAAGTCCTGCATCCCTGGATTAATCCGAAAAGGAAAAGAATGTCAAACTATTAGAACGATATACTCACCCCCGGCAAGACTGTACCATTTCGCCCCATTTGTGATACCCCCTTGTTTACCAAACCGGTTGCTATCGACATCGCCACACCCTCTTCTGGTGGGGTTTGCCATATCGGAATGGTGCGTAGAATAAGCCAGAGCCAAATGTCTAAGTAATATAAAAATAAAACCCAAGATTTTTTAAAATAACACACGAAACCCTATACTGACTTGAACGTTTCGTCGTCCGGCGTCCCCGAATACTCGTCCTTCTGACTCCCCGTCCTGCTCTCATCATACGGATAATTAGCGACCAAATCTCCCCCATGAAGATTCGCAGAAAGCACGAAAGGAATTTGCATGATGAGCCTGATAACGGCTTTAGTTTCAGGCTGAAGCTGAAACAATTTCATGAAACAACGTCAAACATCCCCGGCTTCTTACCGGTTCTTTCAGTCGTGTGAGTTGTGCTAGAAGATGGTTATTATGGTCGAGGTGGTTCTCCTCATTGCTGTACATGATTCGGTTTAAATTTGGGAAGTTTCGGTTGAGGTCGACGGAATTGTTGTTGGTTCGACCTATCAGATAGTCTTTACCACCCTGATGTGGGGGTGAAATTTAGACGGTTCGCTAAGGGGGTGCGTAATTAATCTTACCGTGTCAGTTGCCAGTTGCCATCCATCTGGGTTCATTGTGGGCATTAAGTGAATTCGGGTTTTCTCGATTAGAGATTGGATGTTGGAGTTGCCAGACATGTATTGTTCGCAGAGGAAATCGGCGAGTTTTAGCATGAGTTCTCTTCCGAGGACTTCGTTACCGTGCATGTTGGCGATGTATTTGAATTCTGGTTTCACTGGAACAGGGAAGACGGTTGTACGACGGACTGTCTGTTGCGAATTACAACAAATTTTTGTGAACAAAAATCGAAATTTTACAAGAAAAATTACTTGAAATATTGTAATCGCAATTAAAATATAATATATAATTTGTTTTATTCTTTGTAACACACAGTTCATGTTGGGATTTTAATCGTTAACTGGTTCTAACACAATTTAACAGTCAGGAGCTTATTTACGACTTCTTAATTCCCCACACAAGATTGCTAATAGTTCTTTTCTTTATGTTTTTTGGGTTCTCTGATTTTTTGGTCGGCTTCTTGTGGTGTTTTTTGCATTTTCCAATTTTTTTTGTCATCTATTTTATTCACTTTGTCTTCCCCTCTTTTATGGCTCTCTACCAGCCTTTTTTTGTCGTCTTCCTTCTCGCATTTTTTGTGGCCTCTTTTAGGTCTCATTTTGTCTTTCTTGTGTTCTTTTTGCCTTACTCCAAATTTTTTTCACATTTCTCCCAATTTTCTTTTTTCCCGTTTTTTTGGCGTCTTTTTTTTTGGAACTTTTTTTGTAGTTTTTTTCGTTATCTTTCTTCACTTTTTCTTTTTTCTCCTCCTACCTTCTTTCTTTATCATCTCTTTTATAGCTTTTTTGTTGCCTTTTTAATCTCGTCTTTTTGGTCACCCCGTATTGTATTTTTTGTCGCTCTCTTGTATAAGTTTTTGTTGTTTTTTTGTCGATTTTTGTGGCCTTTTTTGGATGTTTTTTGGGTTCTCTGTTTTTTTTGGTCTCCTTCTTGTGGTCTTTTTTTGCTTTTTTCTGTGTTTTTTATCGTCTTTTTTATTCTCTCCCCCTGCTCTCTTTTATGGCTCTTTACCAGCCTTTTTGTAGTCGTCTTTTTTGGGGTCTTTTTGTCGTCTTTTTTCTCGCAATTTTCGTTGCATTTTTTTCATATTTTTCGATTTCGAAATTTTACTTGAAAAAAGACTTGAAATCTTGTAATCGCAATTAAAACATAATCATATAAGTTTGGTTGTTTAGGTAGTTAATAAAAGGGGGGAAACCTTCGTTTAACGACGACGACGCCACAGTTTCCCCAACACGCAAATTTGTTTTATTCTTTGTAATACACAGTTCATGTTGGGATTTTAATCGTTAACTGGTTCTAACACAATTTAACAGTCAGGAGCTTATTTAGATAAAGCACTTGCTAGGAGATTTCGTGAAGTTCACTTAGTCAGGACTCATCCTTTGTTTATTAAATTATGAATGCGGTATACTTAAGTGTTATACTATAACACTCCTTAATTCCTCACACAAGATTGCTAATAGGAAATGGACAGCGGAAAGTGCGGTAGAATTTATAATCTCGTGCACTGAGGTACGGGGCGATTAAAAATTTTCCCCTTAGGCAGTTATCATCATCATCAACATCACATTCCCATGTGTTTTGCTTATACTAATTGTTTTAAGTAACCAATCATTTGGATAATGGCATAATTTAGTATCATGTAAATTCTTTGTTTGAATCGTTGATAAAGTGTGGCATAATTTAACATCAGGGACATTAGTTATGCCACGAAAACAGCGGCCATGTGGAAAGAGTATTTTCAAACCGAGCACACGTTTGAACTGTAAAATCTCGTTGAACAGATTAACAACATTGTGGGTCATGTAGCATTTTATTTATCTTCAGTAATTTTCTTTGTTGTATAATTTAAATTCAACACCAGATCTCTTTGGTTTTATAAATCTTTGCTAGTTTTTTGTTTTGTAAATATTTTGTTGATTCCATCATATAATTGTCTGATGTCCAATCTTAATCTCAGATAAAAATTATTTGTTGTTTAAAATTTCACGAGAGTGTATGGCGAATTTAAATGTTGTTTATTGCTCCTTTTGAAACTTTAGCACCTGTTCAGTTGTACTTTAATATCAGAGTCATAGAAAGTGAACATTTAAATGGAACTGGGGTAAATAACAGAAACACGTGGCAGAAGCGGAGGGCGCGGTTCCTAGTCGAGCTAGCGGGATGTTCGTATTGGAGGAGAACAGCCACAACCAGGAGCCCCAAACTCCGCTCGTGCTACAACGGGTAATTTTGTTGTGCTCTAGATGAGGTTGAAAAACTATCTCAACTATCGACCTACGATCGCCATACTCTAATGCCGCTGCCACTGCATAAAGTTGTATTAAAATTTTTGAATTTTTCGCGGGCTTTATTTTTTTTTTGCATGTCAATTTGAGGCCGGATGTTTGGGTTATGACAATATAAAAATATACAGAGTGATTACATAATTTTGCTTTGGAAATTTGCCGCCTCCGTGGGACAGCATTCCTTCGAATTCTCTTGTATTCTTTAGAATTATTTTGGGATTCTTTTTGTATTCTTTCGGATTCTGTCGAATCTAACATTTGTTTCGGATTCTTTGTGTATTATTTAGAATTCTATCGATTCTCTCCAACTGCTTTCGGATTCTCCCTGATTCACTTGTATACTTCAAGATTTTCTCGGATTTTCTCAAATGCTTCCACATCCTTCAGGATTCCTCCGAATTCTCTTTTATCCTCTTGTAATTTGGTAGCATTTTCTCATATTCTCTTGTATTCTTTTGGATTCTCTTATATTCTTTGGGATTGTTTTCGGATTCTTTTAGTATTCTTTCAGATTTTCTCTCAGATCTAGGATCTTTTCAGATTCTTTTGTATTCTTTCGAGTTCTTTGTGTATTATTTACGATTGTGTTGATTTCTTTCCAATTGTTTTCAGATTTTCTCTGGTTCACTCGGATTCTTTCAGATTCATTCGGATTCTTTTATATTCTCTTGGATTCTCTCGTATCCTCTCGGGATTAGACGGATTCTCTTATATTCACTGAGATAATTTTCGGATTTCCTTGGATTCTTTCTAATTTTTTGCGTATTAATTCTGTTTCTGTCACATTTTCTCGAATTCTTCCGGATTCTTCCAAATCCTCTTGTATATTCACAGATTCTGAAGTATTCTCCCGAATTCTATCCGATCCTCTCGAAATTTGTTGAATTCTCTTCGTATTCTTTAGGAATACTTACCAGATTCTCTCAGATTTTCTTGAATTTAACCATATTCTCTCGTACTCTTTAGGATTCCTCCGAATTCTGTCTTATCCTCTTGTAATTTGGTAGGATTTTCTAATGTTATATTCTTTCGGATTCTCTTATATTCTTTGAGATTGTTTTCGGATTCTTTGAGTATTCTTTCAGATTCTCTCAGATCTAGTATATTTTTAGATTCTCTTGTATTCTTTTGGATTATTTGTGTATTATTTAGGATTGTACCGAATTCTTTCCAATTGTTTTCGGGTTCTCCCTGATTCACTAAGATTTTCTTGGATTCTTTCAGACTCATCCGGATTCTTTTATATTCTCTTGGATTCTCTCGTATTCTCTCGGAGTCTTTAAGATCTTTTGGGACTGTCTCTTATCCTCTCGGGATTTAGCCGGATTCTCTTATATTCACTGCGATAATTTTCGGATTCTGTCGGATTTCCTCTAATTCTTTTGAATTATTTGCGTATTAAATTTCGGTTTCTGTCAGATTTTCTCGGATTCTCTTTTTTCGGATTCTTTGTGTATTATTTCGGATTCTGCCGACTTCATTCGAATTATTTTCGGATTCTCTTTGATGCACCTGGTTTCTTCCGGATTTTCTTGGATTCTTTCGAATTCTTTCGGATTCTGTTGGAATTTGTTGAATTTTTTACGGGCTTTCATTTTTTTTACATGTCAATTTGAGGCGGGATGTTTGAATTATCACAATATAAAAATATACAGGGTGATTACATAATTTTGCTTTGGGAATTTGCCGCCCTCATGGGGCAGGTAGCAGTGTATCATTCGATCTGTATTATTGGTTGCCTATCACACAGCAAACGTCAAACAAACTTGAGAAAGTTAGGTTAAGACCGACACTTGTGTATGGAATTAATTAAGTAATTCTATACGTTTGTGAAAAGTCATGATCTTTCAAAGCCAACTTGATATACAATCGTTTGTAATTACCTTGTATGTTCAATAAATATTTGTTTAATAATTTCTTGAGATAATCATCAACATTATAAATTTCAACTAAAGTTGAAATCAGCAATTATATACAGGGGATGGGTTAGTAAAGTTTAGCTTCAAAATTACGGTAATCAATACAGTAGATTATCTAATATGATTATTTGTTTTCTTAATTATTTTAGAAATAAACTTCATGGCCCACTAGACCAATAGGTTTTTTTTTATAATATAGTTTTTAAGAAGACATATTTGTGACAAGTTTTACCTGATATATGGTTACTGTCTTGTTAGCATTTTAGGGAAATTTAAAATAATAAGAAACAATCAGTAAAAATCAGTTGTTCCATTAACTATTTTAAACAATTAAAAAAAAAAGTAAAATATTTTGGTGACCAGATTTGAATTAAAATTTCGCGCTGAGCAAAAACAGCGGCGCGAAATCGCATTTGAATAATTTGAATTTGAGAAAAAAATGTAATCAAGAAAATCGTTGAACATAGGCAACCATGTGCAAGTTTAGTGCTTTTTGGGTAGTTGGTAGCTCTGCCAGGGAATTTTCTATTGAGAAGGTTGGTAGAAGTTGATTTGGTTGCAAGAGCGGTGTTTTTTGAGTTCTCTGCTTTTTTGGTCAGCTTCTTGTGGTCTTTTTTGCTTTTTTAAATTTTTTTTGTCAACTTTTTTATTCACTTTGTCTTCCCCTCTTTTATGGCTCTCTACCAGCCTTTTTTTGTCGTCTTTCTTCTCGCCTTTTTTGTGGCCTCTTTTAGGTCTCATTTTGTCTTTTTGTGTTTTTTTTGCTTTACTCCAATTTTTTTTCACATTTCTCCCACTTTTTTTTTTTTCCCGTTTTTTTGGCGTCTTTTTTTTTGGAACTTTTTTTGTAGTTTTTTTCGTTATCTTTCTTCACTTTTTCTTTTTTCTCCTCCTAACTTCTTTCTTTATCATCTCTTTTATAGCTTTTTTGTTGCCTTTTTAATCTC